GGAGAGCAAATACCGCTTCGGGGTCCAGATTCCATTACCCTTGGAGACAGACTCAGAACGGGATTGCTGGTTCATATGGTAGTTCTATTTTTAATTTTTTGTGGAACCTCCAACTATTTTCCATAGTAGCTGCACGGTTTACTTTCCCACCACAGTGCACAGGAGTTACTTTATGTAGTTGATTTAAGAAGCTAAACTTACACAGTGCTCCTAAGAAAATAAACCTCAGAATTATACTTGACTGTGTAATGGAGGGAAGAGATCAGTGGAGAATTAGATAAATAATCCCTACCTCTTCCCTACTGGTCATTGCCATAGATTGGAATCCCTGAAATGGGAGTTCAAATGATTAAGACCTTTTTCATGGGCCCAGAAATCTTTTAAATAATGAGGACAAGACAGTGCCTTAGTTATATTGGCCCAAGGCCACACTGTACTGTAGATGGAGGTATCGCCCCATCTGATATTTATTATTTCAAATATGTGTATCTGAGTCAGCTAGCCAACCTCTTAGAAGTAGATATATAATGTTTGTGAAGTATCAGCCTACCCCCAACCACTCAATATGAGAAAGACTAAATGTGCACCATAGTTTCAGTATTTCAGAGGGTCAAGAGGACACATAAAACTAATATAGCATCAGCCTCACATCCATAAGACCAAGAAAATGAAATTACTACAGCAGCTTGTTACAGGTTGATTGCTAGTTCCTTTGTTCAGTTCCATGCCTGACTGACAGCAATATTTCCATATGCAAAATTTAGCATTATTTGGGGGAAAGGAGTGAACAAAAAAAATGAAAGAAAAAGATTTCATAGATTGAGCTTCACCAGGGTTTTGGCCAACTCATGCCAATTATTCAGTTCCCAACATGAACTTGAAACTCGCAAGGCCAAAGGTTCACATCAAGAAAATGAACTGCCCTGCGGTGGGCTTCTTGGCAGAAGCCCAGCTTTCTTAGCTTCCTGCTGCTGCTGTGTCCTCGGACACCCAGGGAGAGACAGCAGGCACTGCCCTATGCTCCTCCCGACCGCACTCAGTGTTCCCTTTTCTGGCCTTCGTTAACCTGCGCTACTCTGTGGCAGATCAAAAACCCCTTTCCTTCACTCATTCTCCTGCTACAGCAGAGCTTCACTTCCACTGACAGACATGCCAGCCTCTCTGCCCAAGCTAAGAAGCAAGATAAGGAGAAAAAACAAGATGGAGAGGTACCCACAAGAGCCCGCCACTTCTAGACAGTGCTGCTGTGAGGTTTGCCAACCCAAGCCCTAAAGGAGTACCACCACCAGCCCTACTAACCAGAGGAATGACAAAAATGCAAGAGTTTTACCCTCTCCCCGTGGGCGTATCGCCCACAAGGTGTGCGGCTTCTCTGTGGTCTGTGAGCCTGAAACCCATTCCCAGCAAGTAACAGATCCTGCCAACCCCACATGGGGTGTGGCCCTATGCCTCAGCTGGTTGTGCCATTTGAGGAACCCCATTCTCTCCATGTAGGACTTGGTGTCACCAGTTCTAGCCCTACAAACATGCTAGCCTCTTTACTGCAAAGGAACTTACTCTTCACATAGGGCTGTACCTATAAAAATTGTAGCTTGAAGTCCCAGACACATCTGACCAGCAAATGAATCCCATCATCTAATAAAATAATTCTCAGTATTCTCATTGCTGGCCACACAGTAGAACCACCTGAAAGGAAAAATAAATTCATAATAGTAAAAAACCTGGGAACCTGGAACCTCATCCTAAGAAACTATTTGTTCCTTGTCTGGAGTGGCCTTGACCATCACTGTCCCCTACTAAAAGCACCCGATGATTCTGAGGACTTTGTAAGTGTCGGTCCAGTATGATAGCCTGCCACTTCCACCAAGGGCATTGCTCAGTAAGCCTAGGTTTGTGATTTCTGTGTGGTGTCAGGCTTCTCCCAAAGCTGCAGCTTGCAGTCTATACTAGGACTTTAGTCAACCAAGTCCAGTACCCTATGTTTTTACTCTCTAAAGCTGCCAAAGCCCTGCCAGGTGGAGAGGAAAAGATGGGTGAAACCCTGAACTCTGCACACCTGGGTCTCCTCTGTTCTGCCACGTACCTTCTCTATGAGTAATGCAGCTTTTTCACAAGGTGGAGACCACCCTGTACATTCACAGACCGTGCTTCCTCCCTGGCCTGTCAAGCTAAAGCCACAGAGAACATAACCTGATCAGTGCATGTGGCCATCACGACTGGGTCCCCATTCCCTTCAAGTATCAATAATGAAAAAGGATGGAGAGGCGAACATCTCCTCTAACCCCTGTTAAATTCAGAAGTCCTGAGCTGCTTTGGCAACAGCCATCCATACCACTTGATATTCCTTGCTACTGTCTCCCCCGCACGGCAAAAACTGGAACAGCACCAGTACTGAGTAGGGGCTCAGTGAAATGTTTGATTGCTGAATGAAAGGACAAATAAAGGACTAGATGCAGCAAAGGAGCTGTTTCCATGACGGGAGTGGGAAAGGTGGAGGGATGGCCTCACTGCTGGGGGCCAGTATTTAACAAGGGCCATTGGAACCAGGAGCAGAGGAGCAGAACTCACCATTTTAACCTGAAAAAACTCAACGTTTGCTCTTCTTTACTTAAGCACAACCTGGCTTTTTTCCCCCAGGGCACCTAAACTTTTCTTATGTCCTTGTCATCCATTTCTAACTTTCTTCTTAGACCCTGACACAGCAGCACCCCAGTTGTTCCAAAGTGCTCTCTTCTGCCCGCTTTGCCTTCGCCATTTTCCAGCTCCACAGCAGCCTGGCTGTTCCATCCCTCCTTGCAAGGGCAGTGTGGAAAGGAACTCTTTCCAGCTCTACAGCATAGTTTAAGGGAGATTAGCTAAATGTACAGTGAGACCTTCCTTACTTATTTTCTGACTTCTACAGTGTCAGTTTGAAAGTACTAAACACTTACACTACTTATCCACAAAGCCTTTTGAGTGATGATATGTTTATCTTAGAATTCCGACCTAAGTGGTAATTGTATTGCTGCATGTGGGAGAATGGAGCCAAGATGGTTCAATAATCATATGGTGCCAGACACTGTGCAGCCGGCACATGACCTGGGGCAGATGAACCTGGTGCCTGTTTTCTTGAAGAGAGGGTTTCAAAGAGAAGTAAGCAAGAACAGGATGAAGATCAGCTCACATGGGCACTCTAGATCACTTGATATCTTCTAAAGTATAGGTGCATTATTTCTCTTCAACCTTAATTACTGTCCAGGATGCCCTGTGTGGCTCTAAAGAGGATCGGATCTGAAATGTGCACAGGCATGTGAACCTGTGTGAAGGCACTGCAGAGGGTGACAGAGAAGGCGAGAGGGGCCAGCTGTACTGAGATCCGGTTATGTGAGTTGTTTTGGAGATCGCGGAGATCCCAGTCCAGCAACATCTATTCCACTTACATGCTGATCTTTTTATCCTTTGGCTTAAGACAGTATTTTTCAAAGCATTGTCCATGGACCACCTGCTTTAGAGTCATCTAATGGTGTCTGCTAAAAAAACAAAACAGCACACCACGTTCCTGTGCCCCAGATCAGTACAGCTTAGTCTCTGACGTCTTGAACTTATCTTGACCAAACACCTCCGCTCAACCTTTTGAACCATGAAGCCTAGACAGCTGGCTTAAGACTTTACCAGCTATTAAGTTTAAAGACTCCCAAGAAGCAATAGGACTGTGAGCAGATATTTGTCATTTTTCTTGGAAGATCTGAGATCAGGTTATGACGAAGTAGTTGAAAATCACGTGTGGGCTCAAACATCTAATCTGAGGACTAGGACACCACCAAGGGGAGGGAATCAGGACGGAATGGCCAGAGAGCCAAAGAAAACCTTCTTTGCTTCTCCTTTTGCCCCAGGCTGTATGTCATTTGTCATAGTTTAATTCAGCTAGCGTATACTGAGCCCTTGTACATGCCGGCACTAGGGATAAAGGGAACCAGAACAGGTTCATGATCCTACGGAAATTTACAGCTTGGTAGAGGAAGCAGGCCCTCAAATGGGGAATTTAAATAAATATGGTAAGCCAAATATAGGGACCTGAACATGAAATTTGGGGGGGCTAAGAAGAGGGACTGCTAACTGAGACTTAGCTCCTAGAAAAGGAAGTGGCTGATGAGGAAAGTAAGTAGAAACTAGGCAGGTGGGAGTGCAGGTGGGGTGCTTTTGAAAAGGAAATGAAGGGGGGCCAGGAGCTGGTGGGACGTGGAGCGTGCTGCCAACCTAGAGCAACCTGCGCAACCACAGTCTCTGAATCCTAACGTGACCCCATCTATCAGCGATTTACAGGCAGTTCAAACTGCTTTCTCGTGAGGTGCAAGGAAGGAAAAGATGATCAGTGACCCTGAATGGGTAGACACAGGCCGAGTCAGGGAGGTATGTCTTCGTCTGGCTAACTTTCAAGTTCTTTTTTGCTAGCCATTTAGAAGGCTTCTCGGATCAGTACTTCAAATTCATTCCAAGCTTATGGTCTTAAACTCTTCATTGTGGTTGCTCCAAAAACATGTTCCAACCAGTTCATAGGCTCTCTCTGGGGCATTGTGTGTGGGGTGCAACAACTAACGAGTTGACAATAATATCAAAAATTGTCCAATACAGACTTGAGAACGTTCTGTCACTGGATACACACGTGAGAAACAGGAATGCTAATGACCTTTCTGGGGGAGACTGAGGCAGAGGCAGGCGTCATGCGCTTCTCCCTGTGCGCCCTTGTGCACTGTTCGAATTGTTTCCATGTGTACCTGTTGCCTCTTCCAGCAAGTTTAAAAGAGAACTAAAGAGATACATTTATTTCATGGCATGAAGAAGTTGTTTGTCAACATACTAATTTTTTATTAAAAACCAAGTTAATGATGCAGTGACAACAGTGGCAGCAATAATATCATTAAAGTAGTTTTTCACAGCTTGAGTAGTTTTTCCAACACCATGGTGTTGGATAAATACAGATTGTGTATGTTCTCCATAACATTGGCCTTTTTTTTTTTCAGTTTGCAGCACATCTTGTGAAGATGAAATATCCAAGAATCTGTATTCTAGACGGTGGCATCAATAAGATCAAGCCGACAGGCCTCCTCACAGTGCCGTCTCCTCAGATATGAAGAACCGGAAGGATAACCATCAGAAGCACAGGGTGGCGTCGGCTCCCAACAGCGCAGCTCCGCACAGCCTTGCCAGTCTGAGGCCGGGCCGTGCTTCCACAGCGCTACATTTCCATCACGCTTGCTCATGAGACATGCTTTTAAAATCTCACGACCCAAATGTTCAACTATCCAGGCAACCAACCTGACTGTACCTGTGTTGCGGAAAGAAGTTTCCTAACAGTGAAATCAGATCGTGTATTTTTAGCATATTGCGACACAAAGCCAGAGGAATTCAGCTGATAAGGCAGATTTAGTATTATCAAGAAATCTCACTTGCACTAAAAAAAGCTGTCTTCCATCGCACTGAACAGACAGTCCTAACAAGGGTATTATTTAGAAATATAGGTTGAATGTAGACTGAAATCTCATTTTCATGATAATGAAAAGTGAAAGACTATTCATAGTGCATTCCTTATAATTAACTGCTACATATGATAACTCACTTCTGGCCCAGACAAGTTGAGTGTGTGCATGTGTGTGTGTGTGTGTTTAGAGGGAGAAGAATTTAGCCCATTTAAAAAAAGGAATAATAGTCCACTTCCAAAAAAATGAAAGTATATTAAATAGAGTATTTGTTCAGCTTCTGTAGCAGAGAAACCCAAAATAAGAGCTACTTTAACAAACTAGAAGTTTGTTTCGCTCAGTCAGCCTAGGGCTAGTATATCTGTTTCAGAATCATTAAGAACTCAGGTGTTTTTCTCATTGCTTTACCACCCTGAACACATGGTTTCCATCTCATGGATCAAGATGGCTACCCAGATCACCCACCTTCACACCTGCAATTTAGAAGGATGACTGAAGGAGGAGGGGGTGGGGAAGAAAGGAAGGAAAGAAATGGGGTGGCAGGGGAGGAAGAAGGAAAGAAGAAAAGATGAAAGAGAAGGGAGGACACACTTCTTCTGTAAGGACAAAATCCAGAAATTGCACATACTACTTCTGTTTACAAACCATTGGCTAGACCTTCAACATATGGCCTCACCTAGCTATAAGGAAAGGTAGGAATATAATCTTGGGCTGGGCGGCCATTTGTACAGTTTAAAAGAAAAAAAAAAAAAACACCCTTATGGGAAGAGAACACACATAGAAGGACAACTAGCAGCCTCTGCCACATTATTCTAAAAGTTAAGTACCACATTGAATCATAAACATATCATGATTTTATGTACTGTGAAGGAAGAAAAATATAACCAAATAAACTGACACAACAACAATTATAAGATGCATCTCCATTTCAAAAATGCGAAAAAATATTCACCTTAGAATTATTGAAATAGAGTACATCTTTGACTATCTTTAGTTTTAACTAAATTATGTTTGTTCATCTTTAAGTTATATTCCTCTTCAATATTAGGACTGCCTAGGTACAATATTTTAATAAGAGCCTCAATTCAACATTCTGGGCTATGGTTCTATTGTTGCTGGCTGTTTTGGGTTTTTGCATCTTTTTTATTGAAATATAGTTTACATACCATAAAATTCACCTTTTAAAATGTACAATTAAGGTTTTTTTAGTATGCTCACAAAATTGTGCAGTCCTCACTAATTCTAGAACATTTTTATCACCCCAAAAAGACATTGTGTACTTATTAGCAGTCATTCCTCCTTAACTTCTCCCAAGGTCTTTGATTTTTGTACATAGAGTGCAGTAGGTACCCAAATTTATTTTTGCATGTGGGTATCAAGTTGTCTCATGAGCCATGTCATTTTTTTTATTGTTGTTCAAGTACAGTCATCTCCATTTTCACCCCACCATGGCCCACCACCCCTGCCTCCCACCCTCAAACCCACCCTCTTTGGCTTTGTCCGTGTGTCCTGTATACATGTTCCTTGATGGACCTTCCCCTATTGTCCCCCGTTATCCCTCTCCCCCCTCCTCTCGTTGCTGTCAATTTGCTCTTTATTTCAGTGTCTCTGATTATACTTTTCTTGCTTGTTTGTCTTGTTGATTAGGTCCCACTTAAAGGTGAGTTCATATGGTATTTGTCTTTCACCACCTGGATTATTTCACTTAGCATAATGTCATTTTGTTTGTTTTTCTCAATTAAACTAATAGTGATTCACCAAATACGTTTTGATACCTACTGTGTGCAAGACTGTGACATAATCCATAATTTTATTATTCTGCAACCCCTTACACAATATACAAAGAACAATTGTGAGAATAAATGAGGAAACAAAATTTTGCCACAATTTCTGTATCATTTTTGGGGGCCATCATCTTCTCTGGTTAGGGAAGTATTAAATCCTCCTATCCTCTCCTTCAGTTTTTGCTGACTTCTCTGACTTCATAGTCATAATGCAGCACTGATGGTGCTTCGGGAAGAGTGGTTCCGACTCTTCTTGGCCCCACTGGGGAGGCAAAGAAGGGAGGCAGGTGCGGATCAGAGTGAACGGGGTGGCAGGTTGTGGGAGCATGAAGCCCTGAGTGCCGTGAGGAGAGCTGTGCCAGAGAGGATAGTGGCCAGCCATCATCACAATTTTGCGTTGGATTTTTTTTTAGTACTTTTATTTTTTTTTATCAGTTTTATAGCTTTTCTCATGTTTTTTTTATTGTTGTTCAAGTACAGTTTTCTGCCTTTTCCCTTCACTGCTCCCCCCCACCCTAATCATCCCCACTACCCACCCTTTTGGTTTTTGAACGTGTGTCCTTTACACATATTTCTGAAATCCCTTCCCCCTTGATCTGTCTTAAAACATGATGCGGTTAGGCTTTTGAAAAATGAAAGCATATTAAACATTCACATTATAAATAATATTTAATATTCTTAACAGTAAGATAAGAAATAGCATACAATCACTGCCACGTGTACAGGCAGAGTCTGTTACTCGATGACAGGTAGTTTCAGCAAAGTAGACCTCAACAACCATTTGTTGAATTAAACCTATATAACCCATGATTTGTAAGGGTCCTTTTAATTATATTACTGACTTCTACATTGCCACTCTCAGCATTGTTTCTGGCGTCAGCAGCCTCTTCCCTCAGTCTGCCCGGGGTGTCCGCACTTACCCCGCCCGCCCCAGGCACGCACGCACGCGTTCTTCCTGACGCAGCATCAGCAGCATCTCCTCCAGTCTCTGACCCCCTGTGCTGCATCAGGAGCCTCTAATCTATCAAAGCATTTCATTTATGCATGTAACAATATCCTTATTACATCATTTTGTGTTTACCTGTCCACATGTAGGCCCAATATGAGCTCCTTTAAGTCAGAGGCTACGATGTACCCTTGTCTTCAGCAGCCCACTGCACCGGAGATGCTCGATAAACAGGAAATTGGATTGAACTGAATCTCTATTGAGGGATTTTAGACTCTGTGGATAGAAAAATACTTAAAACGGCCCAGGTAATTTTGCTCAAGTGCCAAAATTATCTGGTACCTGATGAATATAAATAAATTAAAATCTCAATTCACTGAGTGAAGAAAGGATCTCCAAAGTACCACCCAGCTCTAAACTATTATAATCCTAGAAGTTGAAACAGATAACTTCCAATGACAGGGTAAACTAAACTAGTTGCATCCCTTTTCCAAAACACAGAAATGCTAGATTAAAAATGTCTAATAGTTTACCAAAGTTTACCAAAGTTTAACGAATCAGAACTTCCTTGATGTCAGATAGGAAGACAAACGGAAACATTGTCAGCCCCTGGGATATCAGATGTTAGCAGAGGCCCAGGAACTGAGGCTTTACCATGCATGTGGGGCTGGAAGACACAGCCTGGGGCCTTCTGGTAGGGGGTTGATGCTAAGTTTACTGTACAAGTGACAGTCTCAAAGAACTCTGCTTCAGGAAATGACCAGCGGTAACTTGTCACCGAATCAGGAAGCTACAAGGGGAGGTTGTCATGGCCTGGTATTCTGAGTGAAGGAATTCAAATCTGCTGACATAGACAGATGGAAGTATTCAACGGAAAGGCTGAGGTAAGTCCCCAAATTAGAACAGGCTTTAGGCATGCGTTCATCTGACTATTTAAAAATGAGAACAATGAATTATATATCAAACTTTTGGAAAGCATAGATGGTGCCAGATCTTTGTTTGACATCTCTGTCTTCTTCTCCAAGTAGTTACCAAAAAGTACATTGTTAGAGATTCATATCAACAACATGGTGCAGCCTCTCAAAAAGGTCCTATGCACTGGTGTCACTTGGTCAAATCCACTCCAAGGGGAGAGAGAGGACAGTTGTGGGTTGGTGGCCGTTTCACTCTATCGAAGTCATAACCATCCATCTCACTGGTGTACCTGCTAGCTTTACGTCTGCCTGCTGGTAACCAAGTAATGCATTTTTTCTGGGTAAGCACTCATTAAGCCAAAGAGTGGAAGCAAATGATAATGTCTATGATACATTTTGGTTCGTGCATTCAGTCACAAAACCAAACAACCCTTCACAACTATTTACTTAGATTTTATGTGAAAAAATAACAGGGAAATATTACAAACCTTAACTGTCCACCACTGGAAATTTAGCCTATGCAGTTGTGCTCACACAACTTTTAGGTTTTCTAATCCAGTTTATCTTACTTAATATTATAAATAGTACACATTGTAAGTAAGCTATTTAAAAAGTTAGCTGCATTTTTTAAAACTTGCATATATTTATCTCTTTTCTGAGTAATTTTCTTGTTAATGCCTTCTGAAAAGTGCTTGTCACTTGAAGTGTAAACTTGGCCCTTGGCAAATTCGGAATTCTACAGTTAGATTGTGGTATTTATAGCTTCTAGGTCTAATGTTGCCTCTTAGGTTGGCATTCCTCCTTTAATATCCCTCCTCGCTCCTCTCACGGGACCCATTTTTAGTTCGCATCGTCTGCAGCATTTCAATAGCACTGTTCTGTCCTAATGCTCACGGTGACCAGTACACTGTGCATAGGTGGGTACTGAGCACGGTGTCGCCAACATTCCTGGATGTTACACATTAGTCCCCTGGATAGTGGAGGCTAAAACACTGTCCTGTCTTGGTTCAAGACTAATCTGGGAGCTATAACAATCTCATTAAAGCATTAGATCAGATTCTAAATATTGCTTCCTGCCACACTGAAAGATTCAAGTTTTGAAAATATTAATGTTTTAGCATATATCTGTGACTTTATAAAAAAGTACACCTTCTATTCTGCTTAAAAACTGTAATAGATTGCTAGTTAAAACATTAACACCTGAGATAATCCATGTATTAATTTTCTCATTGACCCTGGATACTTATTTTTGTTTCTCATTATTAATTTTATCCCAACTATATTAGCATACTTTTCAGTCCTTTAGGGTAAAATAATTTAGTGTTTTAAGGCACACGGTGTGCTGAAACTCGCCCCCAGTGGCTTGGAGCCAGGGTTGAATGTGCCCATTTCTTTCAAACTCCATGTTCAGTGATCTGACATTGGTAGCTTAAAAATTGGCCACACCGTAAAAGCAGGATCACAGCTTTCTTCTCATTTACTTCCTTATTTTGAAAACCAGTCATTAATATTTACTAGCATCCATGCAACAATATAACAAATATTTAAAATTTCAGTGGTGACTTACGTAACTTACATAAAGCAAGATGTTACATTCTTATATAGAAATTATTTCATAAAATGACAATAGTTCAAGCAGAAGCTAACTATAAGTGTCCTATAAATAACTGTGTGACATTCTGCAATGAATTCAAAACTGCCCCGTCTGACAAAGTACAGTAATACCAACATTGATGTTAAAGTCTATGATTGTCAGCCAAATTAATTCTATTAAATCAGGAAGAGTGAATCAATGAGGACATTATATATTGCAGTTATTTAGCCCTTTTAATTAGCTTGTCCTGCCTAGGACATTAACTGAGACTTTTAAAGAGCTGCCACACATTTATTGCAAAGCCTGATTGAAATTTTATGTGAGTGTATTATTGGGTGTGTACTTTATTACCTAGCAGCTAGAACAAAAGATATGAACAAAATGCTAAATACCTGGTTACAAATTAGTTGGAGAAACATAAACAAATGAAAACAGTACACTGACTATAAAAAGTGTTCCACTAATAACCCAAAAGCGTAATTCCCCTCACAGACCTTCCCGACACAACCCAGCCCCAGTGACGTTGTTGCTGCCTGAGAGATGCTCCGGGTGATTTGGCTGTCTTTCAGGCAGGTGAAACTGTAACTGCCCTGTGACACCTCCCTCACACGGCATGTGTACTTTCGTTTACCCAGATCTTGGAAGGCTGGAATGAGGAAGAACTGTGGGCTGGGCTTTCAGGTTGGCTGGCAATTGTTTAGTGTTCACATTTGAAAGAGTTGAACTTCCTCAAGGATCTTTCATGTCATAACACGAAATACCCTGTAGCCCACCAGAATCAGACAAATCCTGCTTCCATTGAGGAAGCTCACTCTCCACTGTGGCTGTCCTGAGAGCCGGGCATCGCCATCTCCCATGTCAAAAGTTAACCTCCGACACCTCAAGAATAAGAAACTGTGTTTCAAGATCCCAATGTTATCACATTAGGACTAAATTGTCTAGTAAAATGGCAGGACACAAAATACCTATTCAGAAATAAGTTGCATTTTACACACCAATAATGAGCTATTGGAAAGGGAAATTAAGAAAACAATTGCACAAAAAAGTACCTAGGAATAAATGTAAACCAAGGTAAAGACCTATTCTAGGAAAATTATAATAACTGAAGAAAGAAACTGAAGAAGGTACAAATAAAAGAAAGCATATACCATACTCATGGATAGAAAGAATTAATATAGTTAGGATGGCCATACTACCCAAAGCAACCTGTACATTCAATAAAATCCCTATCAAAACACCAATGGCTTTTTTCACAGAACTAGAACAAATAATTCAAAAATTTATATGGGGCCACAAAAGACCCCAAATAGCCACAGCTATCTTGAAAAAGAACAAAGAAGAATATTGCTACATGATGTTAAACTGTAAGGCTATAGTTATCACAACGGTATGGTACTGGCATAAAAACAGACATATACATCAATGGAATAGCATAGATAGCCCAGAAATAACCTGTGCCTTTATGGTCAATATATGACAAAGGAGGCAAGAACATACAGTGGGGTAAAGATAGTCTATTCAATAAATAATGTTGAAAAAAATTGAACAGGTGCATGCCAAAAAATGAAACTAGACCACCTTCTTGCACCATACACAAGAATAAACTCAAAATGGAATAAACACTTGAAGGTAGAATTAGAAACCATAAAGATTCTAGAAGAAAACATAAGGAGTAAAATCTCAGACATTTCTTGTAGCAATATTTTTTCTGATATATCTGTTCAGGCAGGAGAAACAACAGAAAAAATAAGTGGGATTACATCAAACTAAAAAGGTTTTGCACAGCAAAGGAATTTATCAACAAAAATGAAAAGACAACCTGCTGAATGGGAGAAGATAATTGCCAATGATACATGCAATAAGGAGTTAATATCCAAAAGGTTTAAAGAACTCATACAACTCAACATCAAAAAATAAACAATTCAGTTAAAAAATGGGCAGAGGACCTGAATAGACACTTCTCCAAAGAGGACATACAGAAGGCCAATAGACATATGAAAAGATGCTTAATGTTACTAATTATCAGAGATGCAAGTTAAAACCACAATGAGACATCACCTCATGCCTGTCAGAATGGCCATCAATAAATCAACCAACAACCAGTGCTGGCTCAGTTGTGGGGAAAAGGGAACCTGAGTGCGCTGTTGGTGGGAAAACAAGATTGGTGCTGTCACTAAGGAAAACAGTATGGGGTTATCTCAAAAGATTAAAAATAGAACTACCTTATGACCCAACAGTTTTACTTCTGGGTATATCCCAAGAAACCCAAAACACTAATTCGAAAAGATACATGCATCCCTGTATTCATTGCAGAGTTGTTTAAAATAGCTATAATATGGAAGCAAACCAAATGCCCATGAATAGACAAGTGAATAAAGAAATTGTAGTACATATATACAATGACATGTTACTTGGCCATAAAAAATGAAATATTACCATTTGCAACAACATGGATAGACTTAGAAGGTATTATGCTAAGTGAAATAAGTCAGACAGACAAAGACAAATACCATATGATCACACTTATACTATGTGGAATCCAAAGAACAAAATAAATGAACAAACAAAACAGAAACAGACTCATAGATACAGAGAACAGACTGATGGTTGCCACTTTGAAGGGGGATTGGGAGGCTGGGTGAAAAGGTGAAGGGATTAATTAATACAATTGGTAGTTATTGTACAAAATAGTCATGGAAATGTAAAGTACAGCAGAGGGCATACAAGCAACAATGTTAGGACAAAGGTCTCCAGGTGTGGGCATTTCCAAGTGTTACTTTTTGCTGAATGTTAAAACATAGCACAGCACTTTGCAGATGCAGCAGTAACAGGATGAGCTGACAGGAACTCAGCTGGATTGCCAACTACATACCCAATGGCTAAGCCTCCCTTCGAGGAGGCAGAGTTAAGGACACAAATCCCCTGTCTCCTTTATTTACTGCAAGTAAATAAAACTACTTTGCAATGACCAGGTCTTGCTTGGTCACCCATTGAGTTCCCAATGAGAACCCATTGAGTTCAGTGACAATAATATTGTAGTAACTATGTGGGGTGCTAGGGAGGTCCTTGAAATATCCAGGGGATCACTGCATAAAATGTATAATTGCCCAAGTACGCTTTATGCCTGAAACTAAAATAAATAATATTGAATGTCAGCTGTAATTAAGAAATAAAATTTAAAAAAAGATCATAGGACACAGAAACAATTTTGTCAGCAGCAACAACAGAAACCAGGAAGAAGGAAACCAAAAATCAGATTTGAATTACTGATTTCTCTTGGTACTAATGGGAGTTAAAATGCAATGTTTTCAGAGTACAGTCTGAAGAAAGGGCTGATAGTAAAGGCAGGAAGTAAGTTTCAGAACGTGAAGGAAACACCTGGGAGAGCAGACATTGCTTCAGGATCCCGGGCCTGTTTGATCTGCCAAGAAGCAAACACCAAAGACACAGCTCCTCCCTTCCCAGGAAACGAAACTGAAAGAAGTGCAGACTCAGCAGCAGAAGATAGAGAGACTAAGAGTTTCTTGCAGGCAGCTCTGCGACCAATGCTCTCCTGTCCCTGCCAGAGCGTCAAGATGGAGCTTAGCAGTACCCCGGCCAGGTATCTGGACAAGTTCATCGAAGACCACCTCCTGCCAGACACGCGTTTCCGCAAGCAGGTCAAACTAGCCATCGATGTCATCTGCAGTTTCCTGAAGGAGCGGTGTTTCCTAGGTGCCTCCCACCCTGTGCGGGTGTCCAAAGTTGTGAAAGGCGGCTCCTCGGGTAAGGGCACGACCCTCAGAGGCCGATCTGATGCTGATCTCGTGGTCTTCCTCAGCAAACTCGGAAGTTTTCAGGAGCAGTTTGATCGCCGAGCAGAGTTCATCCAGGAAATCAGAAGACAGCTGACAGCCTGTCAAAGTGAGAGAGGAGTGCAGTTTGAGATCCGGGGTTCTGCAAGGTGGAACCCCCGCTCACTCAGCTTTGTGCTCAGGTCCCCCGAGATTGACGAGGGGGTGGAGTTTGATGTATTGCCTGCCTTTGATGCCCTGGGTCAGGTGCCAAAAAGCTACAGATCTGACTCCCTGGTCCCCGAGTACTACAGACCTGATCCCCAGATCTACGTCAAGCTCATCCAAGAGTGCAAAAACCTGGGGAAAGAGGGCGAGTTCTCCACCTGCTTCACGGAGCTGCAGCGAGCCTTCCTGAAGCAGCGTCCAACCAAGCTCAAGAGCCTCATCCGCCTGGTCAAGCACTGGTACCAAATGTGCAAAGAGAAGCTGGGGAAGCCCCTGCCCCAGCAGTATGCCCTAGAGCTGCTCACAGTCTACGCTTGGGAGCAGGGAAACAAGGAAACTGTATTCAACACAGCTCAAGGATTTCGGACTGTCTTGGAATTAGTCATGAACTACCAGCAGCTTCTCATCTACTGGACAAAATATTATGACTTTGAAAATCCTGTTATTGGTCAATACCTGAAGATGCAGCTCAAGAAACCCAGGCCTGTGATTCTGGACCCCGCTGACCCTACAGGAAATGTGGCTGGTGGAGACTCATGTAGCTGGCCGCGTCTGGCACAACAGGCTGAAGCGTGGTTGAGTTCACAGTGCTTCAAGAATTGGGATGGGTCTGCAGTGGGCTCCTGGGACATTCAACTTCCAGAAGGAAGTGAAGATGGCTGGACATGTGCCATACTCTGAACACCAGTGCTTCTTAGGGAACAGTGCTCCAGTGTCATCTGAGCCAGCTTCCTCATTCGAAGGGACCGAACCTTGATTCAGAGAGGACAGAGGACTGCCCCAAGCTAGCAGTGAGTAGGACAGACCTACAACTAAAATCCAGGTCTCCTGATCCCACTCTTCCCACTTTTCTGTGCTTCTCTTCTTTCATAGATAGCATTTTCCTTCAGCATCCCCCCCCATCTATTCTCAGACAATATTCTCTGAGACAACAAGAGAAATATAGACAAGAGTGGGATCCCAGCCTTGACGTTCTTCTATGTACCTGGCAGGAGTGTTTTGGCCCAATTTATTACTGCTTACAATAAAAATAATAGCAAAAAAAGTAAATTGTCTGTCTTGAGGAAAACAATACATGTTTCAGAATGCACAGAGAGGAGAGAATTTTCCTCCCCCTGCAGAAACCATGAATTAGCCCTGGCTGGGTGGCTCAGTTGATTGGAGTGTCATCCATATACCAAAAGACTGTCGGTTCAATCCCAGTCAAGGTCAAGGCAAGGTTGCAGATTCAATTCCCAGTCAGGGTGCAGAGGGGAGGTAATGAATCAATGTTTCTCTTTCTCTCTCTCTCTGTCTCTCTCTCTGTCTCTCTCTCTTTCTCCCACCTTCTTCTGTCTAAACAAAATTAATAAAAACATATTCTTGGTGAGGATTAAAAAGAAAGACCCAGCTGGTGTGGTTCAGGGGACTGAGTGCTGGCCTGCTAATCAGAGGGTCACCAGTTACATTCCCAGTCGGGGCACATGCCTGGGCTGTGGGCCAGGCCCCCAGTGGGGGTTGTGCAAGAGGCAACCACACACTGATGCAATGCGATTTCTCTCTCTCTCTCCCTTCCTTCCCCTTTCTCTAAAAATAAATAAATAAAAATCTTAAAAATATTTTTAATAGAAAGAAAGAAAGAAAAGAAAGCAAGAAACCACGAATTGGAGTCTGCAAGAAGAGGCCAAGAATCAGAGAACCTAGATTGTTCTGGCCTCTCCACTGTCACTCCCAGTGTGCCCCTGTGCAGTTTGCATGGGTTTCCTAAGGCTCTTGTTCCTCATGTATAAAAGGGGGATAACAGCCTTTATCCAGCCTATCTGCTAGTCTTATGTTGAAGCTCATGAAAAAACATTTTGTAAAAGAAAAAGGGATATTCAAATGTAATATGTTTATGATTTTTATAGAAGTCACTACTGGTCTGTAAAAGTATCAAGCCAAAATTTGTATGTATCATATTGCTTTTTAAGAAAGAAATTTGATGCAAAATAATTACTTATACAATCTATGCATATGGTTCTATTCTGCAACTGAAACAAAAGGGAAGGCTTCAGGAGCAATGTTTAGATTACACATAACATGCTTGATACTGTTTAATTAAAATCAACCATTTCTAAGTTGAAAATTTTATCCAGAATCCTTTTAGATTTCTCTGTTTTATACCCATCTCCTAGTCCAGTTTTACCAACTTTAAAACCCTCTTTTAACAATCATCTAAACTCTCTTTTGATATAATCTGGCAGTTTCAGCTTCACCAACAGCCATCTACACCTAGATGACAGAGATTTGAAACTTTATTTCAAATCCACTCTTTCCTTCAGTTTTCTCTCCCTCTTCCATTGCAGCTCTCTCCTGGACTTCAAAGCAGCTTTGTGCTTTGCCTTGCAGAAAATCAATGGCTGGGAGATGAAAAGCAGCTCTTGTTTATCTCTTGCCTGCTGAAGGTCATTCTCCTCAGCAGCATCTGTGTGAGATCCGAAGCAGCCAGTTTTTTGCTTGCAGAGGGGAGAAGTAAATTGATTACATATTCAACAGCCACAATGAGGAGAGAGTGATGCCCATTTTTAAAAGATAGGATCACATCACAGCGCAAACATACTAATAAGAATAAGTAGAGTATTGGAGTATTGGTGCTTGGAATATACATTTAGAGTGTTACTGATTGTGACGCCCCCCCTTTTATTTTGGAATGGCTATGTCCAGACTTTTTGTAGCATGCAAAGCTTTATAGGTAGTTGATCACATTCTCTGATAGGTACTTGAGAAGTTATTTGAATTTAGTAGGCTTTAAGGATTATGACTAATAAAGGGCATTGATAAATGACTGTGAGTGGGTATCTATTTCTACAGAAATAGGTAGAAGCATTGGTTTTCTATTGCAGGTATGGCCACAGTTGCTGGCCTCACTTACCCAGTTTGTCCATCAGTCTCCCTGTGAAGGGTGAAGGCGCAGCCTGACCCTGCCCTGTCATAAGCATTGCTTAGCTCTCAGTGTTCTTCATAGTCCAAGGCAATTTCTTGAACAGTTTGGAAGAGAGACCCAAAAACACATACATTCCCCAATGCTGTCAATCCAAAAGTATGTTTTCCTGGGGTCCCATAGTTTATGGCTTGTGTTTCACTGGTAACACTTTGTTCTGCGTCTGTGACGTAGCTAGTGAGTCATGTCAGGCGGTAAAGTTTTGGTAGATTTTTGGGGGGCGGGGGTATTAAATTCAGGGACCTAAAAATCCCTGCCAATCACCCTGCTTGCTCTCCAACAAGCTCCCAAGTAAAATTTACAAACCAAGGATAAGAGCACGTGCAAAACAAGTACCGACTTATGGCTGGGCCAGTGACTGCTGTTCCCTAGTTCAGAGTTTTTGTAAACCTGAGTTAAAACCTGTAGCTTAGACTCAAGGCTTGTGGCATAATCTAAATCCTGGAATCCCATATTCTAGCTTATCACATGGTATGGGAACTAAAACAATAAAGCAGTTAGTTTAAGTATGCGTATAAAGAGATAAGAACAAGAACAACAAAAAAGATGGCCAGGTAAGTAAAGGGGCCTTATTTCAGGTTAACAATTGTACCACTTGCAATGAAAGTAAGGGAAGAGTTAACCCCTTAAAACACAGCAGTACTACTGTATTAGCCACGGTTCTCCAGAGAAATACATATATATGTGTGAGATATATATTATACATAATATATATTTTTTATATATCAATATATTATTATTATAAAGAATTGGCTCACATAATTATGGAGGCTGGCAAGTCCCAAGATCTGCAGAGTGAGGTGGCAAACTCAGTAGAACTGATGTTATAATTCTAGTCTGAAGGCCAGCAAGGTTTGAGACTCAAAAAGAGCTGATGTCTCAGTTCAAGTTCAAAGGCAGGAAAAGACTGATGTCCCATTTCTGAAAGTTATCAAAAATGAAGAAGTCAGCCTTTGTGTTGTATCCAGGCTTTCAGTTGACTAGATCCAGTCCACCCACACTGGGGAGGGTCACCTGCTTTCCTCAGTCCACCAACTCAAATGTTGATTCATCCAGAAACCCTCAGTGACACACCCACAATAGTGCTTTACCAAATATCAGGGCACTCTGTGGCCCAGTCAAGGTGACACATAAAATGAATCATGACACCTGCCCAATAGTAAGTGTGGCCCCAAACCAATGTTCCAGAACCAGGCCTATCAGATTAGCATTCCATCCTTTTGTGGGGTGGAGCAAGGAAGTACAGGCAAAATGCGGAAGGGGCTCCTCTTTCTTAATCCTGTGACTCCCCTCTCTAGGTTTCTTTGAGAGTGATTTCCATTTCCCTCTTCCTCGTAGAAACTAGCACACTGTCAGCACCGAAGTGGGTTTCAATAAATGTTTACTGAATAAACCAAGAGAATCACTGCTCACAACATAAAAAAGGGTCAGTCAGCAATGACTGATTTAGTGCCAGGCACGTGGCTGCACCCTGGGGCAGGCAGTGGATGGTGATCCTAGTGCAGGGTGCCTGTTATAGGGGTGGGCACAAACAAAGGCATTTTAAAAGGGAACAGTAACGAAACTGCATGGCACAGCCTGCAAACGCCCCTGCACTCACAAAAGCTGGGCCTGGCACTGGCTTCCCTGGGAGCCAGGGCTGTCCCCAAGGAAACCGCTTCTCAAGGTGGGGGCTTTTGTGCATTGGGCTTGGACACTTTTCCACTTATCGAATATGTGACTTCAGACAAGTTGTTCTGCCTCCTTCGGCCTCAGTTTCCTTAACTGCTAAACAGGATCGAATCAATGCCTGCTTTGCAGGTTAGGTATGAGGAACAAAGGTGAAAATGGTTAGAAGACATACAGTACTTAGCACAGAGCATGCATAACAGTAAAGGTAGCTATTTTTATACTTTTCATTGTTAACCTACAAGAGGATAGCTTTTCACCTTATTATTAGTTCACCCTTGAGACACTGTAAACTCACAGTGTCTCCCTATTAAGGTCTTTTTTCCACCCATTAGTAGGGAATTAACTAGCCAAGGCAGAAAAGTGCTCAGGCTAGCGGTGGGCATGATGAAAGGCTAGAGAGGAAGAAGGAAACAGGGCCCTTCCATTTAAAAGCTTGTCCTGACAGCAGGCCCACAGGTAGGGCTGGGAGTGTTCAAGGGCCATGAGCTGAGCACTGTGAAATTTAGTGCAATTCTTGCTGATCTTTTGGGAAATGGCACCTATTTGCCAGGGCTCTTTGCCAGACATCCTGACAGCTACCATGCATTTGCCTGCTGAAAGAAAGACACAGCAGTGGCCAGCTGCTGCTGCCCCACTGAATTTCTGCCTTAATAAGCTGCTCAACCACCTCTGACTTCTTAATTTTCAAAGACCCTATTTAAGGTCCGTTATAAAAAGCAGCAAGCTGAAATTCCCTTCTAGGCTCTGCCTGTCGCCAACATGTTCAATTGCCTTTGTCCCTCCCATGCATCCACTTCCTAAAGAGCACAGAAGTGTGTTCTGGTGCAGGTGGTGATGACGTGTCTCCCCGGGCACCTCAGTGGGGGAATTCGATCTGGACACACCGATTCTGATGCCACTGAGCACAAAGGTGACATGATAAGCCTTTCCTTTGCTGCTTAATTATTGATATTAGTAATAAGTTATTATTTTAACTCTCTGAGAATTCATGGGTTCAGGTAAGCAGGAAGAAACTTAAATTCACAACAGAGTTGCTCCCTTTCTGTTTCTTTTCTAAAAGTAGCCTGTAGCTTACTCAAAAGATTAAAAGTGGACCTTCCTCATGGCCTGGTGATCCACTTCTGGGGATTTAGCCCAAGGAACTGAAAACAATAATCCAAAAGAATATGTGTACCCCTATGGTCATTGCAGCATTATTTACAATCGCCTAGCTAGGGAGGCAATCCCAGTGCCCATCGACAGATGAGTTGGATTAAAAAAGCTGTGGAATGCTACTTGGATGTAAAAAAGAAAAAACCTTACCATTTGTGACAGCATGGATGGACCTAGAGAGTATATTACTCAGTGAAATAAGTCAGTCAGAGAGACAAGTGCCATATGATTTCACTTATATGTGGACTCTGAAGAACAAAATAAACAAACAAAATTAAAATGGACAATAGATACAAAGAGAGAACGGGTGGCTACCACAGGGGAGGGGAGTTTGGGGCCTTGGGTGAAAGAGAAGAAGGGATTAAGAGGCACAAATTGGTAGTTACATATGGTCACAGGAAGTGAATGAAGCACAGGGAATATAGCCAACAATATTACGACAACTATGTGTGGTGCTCAGTGGGGCACTAGAAATATCAGAGCGAGCACTCTGGAAAGTGTGTGATTGTCTCACCACTGGGCTGTACACTGTAAA